TTTTTCCCCGTTTTCTGTTTTCTTCAGTAATTTTTTTGGTGTTTTCGAAAATACGTTTTCGAAAACGGGAAAGAGAACACGTTTTCACCGTTTTGAAAAATCGAAAACAGAAAACGACTTGAAAACAGTAAGAGAACAGGGCCTAAAAATCTAATAATTTTTCCCAAATAAGACAAGATCATTTTGGACATAATACATTTTCCCTATTAAATTAAACCACAACCTCCCACCCCATTTCCTTCTTTCCCAACCACCTCACTCCAAAACCAAAACAACTTCCACCCAACCGTCGACCACCACCTTAAAACTAGGAGCTCTCTTGCGCACATAAGCTCACTTTAGTCTTGGCCCACAAAAGCTTTTGATGTGAGTTTTGGGGAGAGTGCTATGTGGCTGCTTCAGTTCAGTGTGTCTCTTAACAAAATCACCTTTAGCAATGCTTCTTCTTTCCATTTTGTACAATAGATTTGTGTGAAATGGAGTGGTGTTGCAATCGTTTCTCCAGTTATAAAAGGTAACATCCTGTTCACATTTGTGAAATATAATTTGTATATGATTTAGGATTATTTTTGTTCATATGCGAGTGGAAAAATTGCTAATGGGAGTTAACTATTAATCGTGTTATTTAAATTCTAGCAGTTGGTAATAGAGAGACCAAATCATGTTGATATTAATCATTTCTTCTCCATTTCCATTTCCATTTCCATTTCCATTTCCATTTTTGGATTTTTCATGGGTTTAAAAGTAAAAGCCTTGATTTTGAAATATGATCTTTATTACATAAATGGATTGAAGGTTTTGAAATCGGCCGATGGCTAGTTTATCTACTTCTTGGAGGTTTTGAAATCTGATTTTAAAAACCTTGATTTTGAAATATGCTCATGACTCGTTTTGCCACTTTTTGAAAGTTTTGAAACTGGCCGGAATTGAGAGTTATTTAAAGGTTGAACTCCAACCTTGAGGGTCCCCACCACCCCGCTCTTAGAGCATTGTGGATGAGGTAAATCGCGGAATGTGTTTCAACATGTCAGAGTACAAGAGCTATCATACTGGTACCCACAAAAAGTGCAATTACATACCTTATAAGAGGTAGGAATCGAATCTTCACACTTAGGGGCAGACCCAATGGAGGCCCAGTGCAGTTACTAAATGTAACTTTTGAAGAAAAAAAGAAGAAGAAGAAAGTAGGCCAAATAATTGGCTCAAAAGATAGAAAGATGTCAATTTACATAGAGTAATGTTATTCATCCCCAGTGAGGTTACAAACACGGTTTAAGTGGCTCTAAATGATAAGTTAAATGAAATATGAAATTAAATGACTTAATTAATTTCACATATAATTTAATGTCACATTAACGCCACCTAAATTGTGTTTGTAACCTCAATGGAGGATGAATAACATTACTCATTTACATAAGACACGCCAAATCCATTCAAATTCTTAAGAATCCCAATTGATTGAACACCAAACACGCACGTCCCCGACTCGCCACAGAGAATTGAAATTTTTTGAATTGAAATACCCAATTGCCACCAAAGCAACAAGGTCCTAAATTCATGAAATCGATGAAATTGAAGAAGTGAAGCCGTAGGTATCAATTGAAGGAGGTAATTATCTGATAATTTTTTGTAATCTTCTTCTTCTACCCCTTATTTTGTTTGATTCAATTACTTGATTCCTACTTGTTTCATGCTCTGGTAATAAGAGTTTTATTCTGAACTGAAACATTAATTTGTATAATTTGTTTAGGTTGCGCAATTCAAACGTAAAGAAGTATTCGTGCTGCGTTATTCTTCAAAAATTATACTGGTCAAGTTTTGATTGCTATCACGGCGAGTGATTTCTGAATTCATGTTGTAGTCCTTTGAGTATAGTTAACTGCCCCTTGCTGAAAATGCCAACCGTTTTAATCTATGATTGTTAATGCTTATTTGTGCTGATTTTTTCTTCAGGTCGTAATGATATTGGTGTTTCATAACATATGAAAATCAATATTTGGTGTGAGTTTCTTTATATGACTTTTTTACAAGTTTGGTTAAGTTGAATTTTCCTTTTCTCGTCGAGTTGTTCTTTTTAAGATTTCTTTTTGAGCTTTTCCTTGTCATGGATGCTCTATTAAAAAAAAAGACTCAATATTTGCACATTGTAGCCATGAATCGAAAAATTTTGCATATTGATTTTTATATGTTGTTAGTTGTCTTGTCGATATCAAATGGGATTACAAAGAAATGTTGGATGTGACATTAAGGATAGGAAGATTTTCTAAATTGCAAACTGCATTACATTCAAGAGCTGTTTTAGAGGCTCTACGATGTTAATTAGAGTGGATGGGGGAGACCAATTTAGACGGGGGATAGGAAATGTGTCTGAATTGTGGGCTTAGCAGTTTATATCTAGCCTTAGCAGTTATGTAGATAAAATAAAATGAGTCTCACATACAGCTTATACATCTTCAGGCAATGAATGGTCATTTAAACATTTTAAGGCCAGCCATTAAGAATTTTGGTGGGAGTGTGGAAGTTTTATCTATCACAGACGGTTTGAAAGAAATTTGATTTGGTCACAACCTAGCAATTTAGTGGCAAGCAGCAAAATCTCCTGAGTCCGCCCGCACTGAAAAATTTCTGGGTCTGCCCTTACTCACACTGCGGCTGCCAACTCAGTTGAGACTACCTCACTCCTATCATTTGCACCACTGAATTATGCCCCGGAGGGCAAGAATTGGGAGTTATTTTCCTGTGTGTGAGGGAGTTGCTGATTTTGATGTGGTGGTGGTGCCTGGTTTTTAGGCGGCATTGGGGCCAACGTTGAGGTGGTGGTGTTGGAGGTAGCGGCCAATGACTGGGTGGAAGTTGTCTTGGTTTTGGGGTGAGGGGGTTGGGGAAGAAAGAGATGGGGGGTTGTGGTTTTGTTTTTTAATTTTTGATTTAATAGGAAAAATGTATTAGTCTTATTTGCGGAAAATTATTTGAGTTTTAATTTATGGGATCAACTGAAGGTTTTTTGAAGTCAAACTGAACCCGTTAGTTTGGATTCGAGCTGCGAACTTTTTAAAGGTTTTGTACCTATGGTTGCACAAGCGAAAAGTTTGAGTCAAGTCTGCTAATGGATGAAATGTTTGGTATCTTGGCCGCAATTCTTCCATTTTTTTTATGGGAGAACTTGTGGTTGAAAATAAGTTTTGAAAAATGGGAGCCAAATAAAGGTGGCAAAAGGATCGAGTAACTCGTCGACTCGTCTCGTCTCATCGTAGCAAGAGCACACTACCAAATATATCGATAGAATAAACCTTACTAAGCAATACAAAATCACACACTATTACACTATGGATGGCAATATGACGAGCCGGGACAAAGCAGTCATTATTATTCCCATCCAGTCAAGAATTCTCAATAGGCGGAGATTGAAAAAAATCCTCATTTTTCAATCTGTTTTATTAATTAATTAGTGTTAATATTATGTTTATATTTTCAAATATGATTTAAATCGAAAAAGTATAAAACTAGACTAAAATAAAAATATTTCTGATAGGTTTGGGGAATTTAGGGTGGGACCTCATCCCTGCCCGTTTTCCATTCGAGGCAAACCGAGTTGTGAGTGAAATTTTTTTACCTCCAATACATTAAAATATTTCTACATTGAAATAAATCTATATGAATTGAACAACGTCAATATGATCATACGTGCTGAAGGACTTGTTTTGAATCGGTTAAAGATCTCCAATTGCTTATATGGATTGCAAACTACAAGACATTTAAATTGGAGTAATGTTATTCAACATCACTGATATTAACATTATGTTTGGTAACAATTTTTCTAATCAAAACAATGAATTTTCGACGGTTAACATCAAAGTTGTCGCAAAGTTTGACTGACCCTCTCATATGCAGATTCCACTGAAAATATTAAGAAGGTGTTTGGTAGAAATTAAAATCGGATTAAAATTGAAAAACTAGCCGTTATTGTTGATTTTTATTAGATGAGTGGGACCCAATAACGACTATATTTTCAATTTTAATTGGATTTTGAGCCATACCAAACAGGCCCTAAACGGTCACAATTTTAATTAAAATTGGGCCAAAATTACTATCAAATAGGCATTAAGTATTAGTTTAAGTAGTAACTATATGACATTAATTTATTTAAGGGAAGAATATATAAATCATGCTTTTACTTTTACACATTTCAAAAATACAAAAACAAATTNAAAGGGAACAATACATAAATAAAGTATCACTATTTCAAAAATCAGGTTTTCATTGAAATTTATTTATAATTTAATTATGAAATAATAATTATTGAATTAATTTATTATGAATATTTAATTCTATTATAAAATAATTAACCCACCCCCACCTCCACCACCCCTACAACTCCGGAGATATTCCGGCGACCTTTTCCGATCATCACTCTTCTCCGACGACCGTTCCGATGACTTTTCTGATTCCGGCAAATATTTTAAAGTCACGAATCTATACAATTTGGTCACAATTCAAAAATTTCATAAGTCACAATTTGTTCATCGATCACAACTTAAAAATTTAAAAGTCACAATTCTTATATCGGTCACAAATCACAAAATTTATAAGTCACAATACTTATTTATGTCGCAATTTATCAATTTATTGGTCACAATTAATAATTTTTTGGTCACAATTAATAATTAAGGGTCACAAACAATCAAATTATTTGTGACCACCACCAAGATTGTTTGTGACCACCACCAAGATCGTTTGTGACCACCACCAAGTCACAAATCACACGCAGAACACACAACCACCGCCAACCCCACCCAAACACGGAACCACCAAAATGGTCACAAACAATCAAATTATTTGTGTCCA